GGGCGAGCAAGGGGATGCTCTCTGCCCGGGCTCGCCTCGCCCCTGCCCCCAAACGCGGCTCTCCGCAGCCCGGGCCCGGCACCGCGGCTCTCCGCAGGGCTCCCCCCGCCCCCCGCCGGGTCTCGGCCGCCCTCCCGGGAGCCGAGGTTGGGACCCCACGCCCGTCACCCCGGCCTCAGGCCTGCCCTGCTACCTGCAGCCACAGCGCCCAGCATCCCCCAGCTTGGCTCGGGCACTCGTCCGTCTCCGGCCCCTCCTCTCCCAGGTTCTGGGGCCTGCACCCACCCTTCCCACTTCCCACATTTTAGGATGCTCCGGTCACCCGCCAAGCGCCGGCCCTGCGGCCGACAACCCCTGCCCTGCCCTGCCCTCGCCGTGGCCGGAGCCACGACCAGCACCGCAATGTGCAGCCAGCGCCACTCGGATCAGTTGCCCGATTTCCAGGCACCCCAAACAAACATCGATTTCCCCTCCCGGACCCCCACCTCGGCTGCTCCTGAGGCCTCGAAGCTGCTTCCCTCGCCACCCACCCGTCACACGTGAGCCTTAGTCACCGCCAGCAGCAGCCCCCCCGCTCCCGGGGGCGAGGGCTTCGCCCCCACACATCCCACCCTGCCTTGATAACAAGCAGATAAGGAGAGGCCTCCCCCCACTTCCCAGACAGGAGCAGAGGCCTCGGCTCAGCCCTGCTCGGTGGTGAAACTCCTCCTGGCCTTGCAAGAAGCAGGGGTGGGCCAGGAGCGCGGCCCCCATCCCTGCCCCACACAGCATCCCATGGGGCAGGCAGAGCACATACACCCCGGGCACGGGTGCCTGCCCGCTGCGGCAGCACGTCCGAGGGCAGGGGAAATGCAGGCAGCGGCAGCTGGGGGGGAAACACCGCTCAGGGCATTGCAGGGGCAGCAGGAGCCAGGGACACCTCCCCGTTCGCTGCATGGCTGGCCCAGCTCGGGGCACCCCGCAAAGCACCCGTCTCCCGGGTTCACGGGGATGACGAACAGATTCGGTTTTCTGCAGGCAGCACCCATCAGAGATGCCTGTTTTAGGGATGATATCACCGCAGGGCCAGGAGATCCCCTGCCACCCCATCCTCCTTCACCTACCAGGCAAACAGGTTTCCCGAAATCCCAGCCCTCTCCTCCGGAAGCGTGTTCCTCTGACTCAGGGGACGGGAAGCGGGCAGGAGGGCTCTTCAGCAGATGGGGCAGCCCCGCTCTGTGCCACTGCAGAGGAGGCCGTATGCCCCAAACCGCCCCAAACGCCCCAGAGCCCCGAACTGCGGTCAAGCCACCACCTTCCTCCAGTCCCCGGCCCTGCCACCCCGCCGGCTGCTCGCCCGGCTCAGCCAGAGCAGAGGCTTCCCCGAAACTCCTGGCAGCCTCACCCACCGGCTGACTCCCCGCCGGGGAATGCTGCGGGGCCGAGCCACGGCTCCAGGAGCTGCGCAGCCCTGGGGGGATGGCGGGGGACAAGAGTGCACGTGGCACAGGAGCGTGTCCCAGTGAACCCACAAACACAGGGGACACCCCGAGACAGGGAAGGGGAACAGCCCCACTTGCACGCCTGCATGGCCGAGCCTCCGAGGAGGCTGCAGCAGTCCCACAGCCCCTTATTTCCATGGCACACTGGCAGAGCAGGGCCGGGGCCACCCCATGACCTGCTCTAAGGGTGCCGTCGGGTGACTTCCAAAGCCCCTTTGCCTGGCAGGGTCACGGCCCTGTGGGTCCCAGCAGGGCGGGCAGGGAGCCCAGCACAGCATCGCCCGGAATGGACAAGCATCCCGGGGCTCCAGGACAGCCTGGGACCCAGTCCAGCCATGCCCATGCTCCTTCTCCCCACCACGGGGCCAGCCTGGAGCAGGGGGCATGGTGAGGAAGGGGCAATGGCGGGCGTACAGGGCCTGCGGCTGTGCTCTGCTGGTGCTCCCGGTGCGGGCAGCGATGCAGAGGGCACCTGGCTGCTGTGCCAGCCCGAGTCGATGGGCTTATACAACAAGCAGAGCATTGATCGATCGCTCCGCTGCAGGCAGAGCCCCGCTGCGTCGGGGTTCCTGGGTGCAGCCTCCCCCCGTTCCCGTGGTGCTGGGAACAGCCACCCTCCCCGCGCTGATGGAAAATCCGATGAGCTCATGATGAGCATGCTGCCTGGCCCCAGCAGCTGCGTGCCCCAGAGCTCCCCGTGCTCCTCAGCGCCTCGGCGTGGGGTGCAATGCTGCCACGGCTCCCTCAGGCTGGCCTGGGGAGGGGGCTGCACCCAGTGGGCTGGGGCCCGGCCATGGCTCTAGCCCCCACAGCATGCCCAGTGTCTCACCCTGACGCTGCCTGTGGGGAGCCAACGGGGTGCCGAGCACCCCCAAATCAAAGGATAATTACAGCTGCGGCTCAGTCACTGCCCCGCCAGCGTGAGCTGACACTGTGGGAGGCTGGGTACAAACAGGGATGAGGATGGCAAACAAACCCTGCCGGCATCCCCGGGCAAAGTACCGCGCAGGACACCCCATCCCACCCGCTCCCACGCCGCTCCCCACCCCTCTGTCCCACACCTCCCTCCTCTGGGCCCAGGACTTTGCCCCCACCCCAGGCCGCTCCCACCCTGCTGCTCTGCGTGGGGCGGTTTCAGGGCCCACACAGGGCAGTGGTACCATGGCCACGAGGGCTGATCTGAACCCCTGCCCCCAAAATGCTCCAGCTGACCCCCGCTAGCTCTGGGGCAGTGACCCAGCAGGAACCCAGGGACAAGGGTCTGTCCCTGCATCCTGCCCCGGAGCACACGGCTGCGGTACCAGCCTGTCGCCGGCAGTATGCCGGGGCAGCCACCAGCCCCTGAGCATCTTTGCCACAGGGCCAGCATCACGGCTGGCTGCAAAGACCTGCTGCTGCAGGACAGTCCCCTGTGGGTGCAGGTGACAAATGGGCCAGCGATGGGCTGAGCCCTGCCCTGCCCTGCCCTGCCGCAGCCCTCACCCGCTCTGTAATTATCCCAGGCCGCATCTGTAATTAGTGCCCTGATGTCATGGTGTCAGGCCTGGGCAGCCCCACGCACTCCCCGCCAGCCCCACCTTGGCCTCCAGCCCCAGCGCTGAAGGAGATCCCAGCCCTCCAATGCCGTCCCGAGGAGCTCCTGCCTGGCTCTGGCTGTCCGCGCTCCCCAGTAGCATCACTGCTGGACCCCCATCCCATCCCTGCCCTGCAGCACCCGAGCTGCTGCAGGGCTGGATCTGGCCCTCTGGCCAGCGCAGGCCTCGGCCGTTCCCCCTGCTGCCCCTCTGCCGCTGCCCACGCTGCCGGCATCCTGCCCACTCCTCGCCGTGCTGGCCCTGCCGGCTGGCTGCACGGCTGCCATCCTCCTGGGGACGGATCCTGCCTGCGCAGGAGAGCGGCCACCCCCTGCCCTCCTGAGCCCCCCCCAGTCTGGGGCTTGAAGGCAGTGCTGCCTGTCCCCCACGCCCCTCAGCACAGGGAATGTGCTGGAGCGGCCCCGGCAGCTATAAATAGAGCGGGAGGCGCAGGCTGGTCTGGGTGGCTGCTGCCCCTCGGCCAGCGTGGGGGCACGGGCAGGGTGGGGGGTTGCAGTGGCACCCCCCAGGTGGGACGGGAATGGGGAGGAGGGCGAAAGCCCCGGGCACTGCCGTCCTGCCGCAGGGATGCACCCAGCCCTCTGCCGGGGGGACGGGAGGGGAGACCCCCACGCAGCCGCCGTGGAGCAGCACCCGGCACTTTATTGCGAAGCAGACAACCGTGCTCCCCACGGCACACGGGACGCCACGTGCCCCTTCCCTCTGCCAGCGCCCCAGGCTGCCCGGCACCATAGCCGCCTCCACCTCTAGCACCCACGCAGGGGCCGGGCTGCACCGGTGACGGTGAACCGTGCGCTCAGCACCTCCGAGGGCGCCCGCGTCTGCTGGCCTGGCTGCTGCCCGCCGGCAAAGAGGGTGAAGGTGCCGGGCTCGAGGCGCCAGTCCTGTGCCCAGACGGCACGCTGCTCGGCTGCCACCTGGAAGGACAGCTTGGTCTCCCGGCCGGCCGGCACGGCCACGCGGCGGAAAGCCACCAGCTGCCAGCGGGGCACCGGCACAGACGACTGCTCCCACCGCAGGTACAGCTGCACCACCTGCCCGGAGGGACGGGAGTCAGCGCTGACGGGACCCCCCAGCTGCCCCCCTGGCAGGGGGGACCCCAGCTGCAGCCATACCCCCTACGGCCGCATCAGTGCAGAACGGCAATGCTCACCTCCTCGCCATCCCTCTGCCCCGTGTTCTCCAGCACCACGGACACGGAGAGGTTGGCACAGACGGGCAGCACTGGGGGGCTCAGCACCAGGTCCCGGTACTGGAAGGTGGTGTAGGACAGCCCGTAGCCAAAAGGATAGAGCGGGGCCTCCTGCCCATAGTACCGGTACGTTCGCCCCTCCATGGTGTAGTTCTCCATCGGTGGCACCTGAGGGACGTTGCGCCGGTGGAGTCGGGGCAGGGCTGGGCAGGCATGGTCAAGGAACAGCCCCACATCCCACGGCTCCCTGGCCACCGAGGCAGGGAAGAGCTACGGGTTCCGCCAGCTGCCCTGGCCATACCTGGTGCATGCCTGCGGGCCACGTGGCCGGCAGCCTGCCAGCCGGGTTGGCCCCCACCTCGCCCAGCAGGACCCTGGCAATGGCGAGGCCGGTGGCCTGGGCAGGGAAGAAGCACGCCAGGATGGCCCCCACGCCCTCGTGCGCCTGCGCCCAGCTCACGTCCAGGGGCCCCGCATTGAACAGCAGCAGGATGACGGGGCGCCCGGCGGCTGCAGGGAGACAGCGGTCATCAAGACCCCGCACCAGCGCTGCTCAGACAGCTCCGGGGTGCCCCATGGATGGGGAGTGCCTCAGGGGGTTGCAGTTCCCCTCCTTGCGCCCCAGCCCATCACCACCCCCTCTGGGCTGGCCCCGACCCCCAGGACACCAACCAGCCCCCAGGTGCCGGCACGCTGCCCTGGCCAGGAGCAGAGCCCCTACCCGCCTCCACGGCATCCTGCAGCAGCTCCAGCTGGTGGCCCGGCAGGGACAGGTCCCTCCGGTCCTTCGCCTCCATCTCCACATCCGTCCCTGCGTGGGGACAGCCAAGGGACAGCCCCTTACACCCTGCCCGGGGCACCACGGACAGATGGGGCAGAGGGGCACTGACCGCCTCGGGGGGCCGATGAGGACCCGTTCCTCTCCCAGAGCCGCCCCGGATCTGGAGTGCTCCCCCTCCCAGGCTGTGCCCACTCAGCGCCTTCCCCGCTCCCACCTACCTGTCCCCAGGCAGACCACCACCACATCGGCTGCCCCTGCTGCACCCACCACCTCCGCCCGCGAGTACTGCTGGCACTGCGGCTCACGGCAGCCTGCTGCGAAGCTGACATTGGCCGGCAGCGTCTCCAGCCCCCTCCTGCACCAGGAAAAGAGCAGAAGGCATGGGGGCTGCTGTGCCCCAGGGTTGGGGCACCTTGGGGACACACCCCCTTGCCCCAGACCCCAGTGAACGGTCGAGCGGCTCCAGCAGCAGCCCCAGGCAGCGCCCAGGACCAGGGGATGGACGGCAGCACCACGCTGTCTCACCGGGGAGTGTAGATGTACCGCGGCTCCGGCACCGGCGCGTAGTCCCCGAACAGCACCCGGGGATTGTCGGCGAAGGGACCCACCACCTGCGGAGGGCAGAGGGGTGAGGGTGGGCACTGGCAGCCCTGTGTCACGCAGCCTGCGGCTCTTGAAAGGAGGGGACACCTGCGTGCCCGGGGTACAGAGCCAGCAGCCCCTGGGTCAACGTGTCCCCCCTGCCCGCCTCCGTGCATGGGGCTCACCGCGAGGTGCTTGCCGGGCAGGTCCTGAGCCCAGAGGGGGAGCGTCCCCCGCGCGTTCTTCAGCAGCACGAAGCTCTTGACAGCAGCTTCCAACGAGAGGTTGCGGTGCTCGGGGCTCTGCACGGCGCTCAGGTCCAGGGCGCTGTAAGGGTTCATGGCTGGGGGGTCGAACTCCCCCAGCCGCATCCGTGTGTAGAAGAGGGGCCGGACCCGGTCACGCAGCATCTGCGAAGACCCCAACACCAAAACCTCGGTTGTGCTTGGTGGGGGCAGCCCTGGCTCTGTGCCCATGCCCTCGGCCCCGTTTCCCCTGGCTCACCTGCAGCGTGATGTTGCCCATGGCCAGAGCCTGGGGGATGTGCATGAAGACGTTGTTCCTCATGCCATAGGAGAGCTCCAGGTTACAGCCGGCGTTCATCGAGGCTGCCGTGCCGGAGAGAAGGGAAACCGCCCGTCACGGCTGCGTGATGCCCAGGGACCCCGCGCCTGTCCCGCGAGCTCACCGACCGCCGTCTCCAGGAAGGTGCGCGTGTAGCGGTGCCCCAGCATGATGAGCTCCAGGGCCCCCTCGTCGCTCACCACGTAGCCCTTGAACCCCCACTCGCCGCGCAGGATGTCCGTCAGCAGCTTCTTGTTGGCGCAGGCGGGAACGCCATTGATCCTGTCAGAAAGGGGATGAGGCAGCCCAGCCGGCTGGGCACCGGCCACCCCGCGGTCAGCCCAGCCCGCACGGCCCCCGCCACGCTCGGTACCTGTTGTAGCTGCACATGAAGCTGTAGGAGCCGGCGCGCACGCACGCCTGGAACTGGGGCAGGAAGGTGGTACGCCAGTCCCGCTCCAGCACCTGCAAGTGTCGCGGCAGAGACGGGTCAGCGCCCGGGGGGCCGCCCGCCGTCCCGCGGCCCCATCGCGCTCACCTTGGCGTCGAAGCTGAGCCTGGAGACGGGGATGTTCTCAGGGCCCCCGTGCACGCTGAAGTGCTTGCAGCCGGCGCTGGCCTTGACGTAGCGGGGATGCTGGCCCTGCAGCCCCTGCACGAAGCTGCGGGCCAGCTCCCCGCTCAGGAACGGGTCCTCCCCGTAGGTCTCCTGGCCAAGGCGCAGGCGGGTCACCGCCGGGACCCCCAGACCCACACCTCCCCGCAGCCAGCACCCCAAGGAGCTGCTGCCACCCTCCGGCCGGTCGGCCACGGTCCTGCGTGGCCTGACCCCTGCCCAGGGTCACCACCACTCCCCCCTGCCATGCTGGCACCTGGTTCCTGCCCCACAGCGGGTGCCTCATGATGTTCAGGACGGGGCTGAAGCAGCTGAGCCCTGTGTGGTCACCGTAGCGGCCGGTGGCGGCGAAGTCGTTGTGCTTGGCTCTCACCTCGGTGGCGGTGGCGTTGGCCACCCGGTAGACGAGCTCTGGGCTGTGGAAGGGGGGGGAACGCGGAGGTGTCGAGGCGGCGGGCGCGGGTCCATCCCGCGGGACCACATCCCGCACCCCCAGGATGCCCCGTCCCCGGTGCCGGTACCTGAAGGCAGCAGCGAGCCCCAACGCTTGGGGGAAAGCCGTGGCCCAGCCGGGAGCCTCCGCGTCGCCCCGCAGGCACTCCGTGTTCCAGTTGTAGGGCCCGATGCCCAACCGGGGAACGGGGGGCGCGGGGCCGTTCCCCATCGCTCCCCCCCTCGCCACCTGCGGGCCAGCGGCGCTGAGCGGGCAGGGGAGGAACGGGGCCGGGGGACGGGGGGTCCCGGGGCCGCCCCCGCCGCCCCCTCACCTGCAGCACCAGCTCGGCGGGGCTCAGCCGGCCCAGCAGGTCGTCGAGACG